CGCCCGGCCGACAATCTCTTATACAAGCCAAGTGACCAAAATTTATTAGCAGCAGAATTTATTACCACAGACATACTAGGCTGTAATTCTGAAATAGTATATATACAGTGCATCAAGGCTGAAACTCAGATCTGATTCTTTTTTTTTTTTTTTTTTTTTTTACTATATCTTTGATGAAACTGTAATAGTGCCCACCATCTGCTGTTCCTGTATGAACAGATCTGATTCTTGTTTGCATCATGTGGACAACCACTGCCCCAAACACTTTCCTTGAACCACATAACGCCAAACCATCTACATACACTCCACCCTCCACCTCAAAAACCAAAAAAAAAAAAAAAAAAAAAAAAAAAAAAAAAAAAAAAGCTCCTTTACCACCCGGCATCATCAAAGGAGGTGTGAAACGCCAGCAGCTCAAGTCACAAAGTCTACACTTCTAGACCTGGGTAGCAGGCTAGGCACCTGCGCTCGGAGAAACGAGCGAATCCTATACATCCAAGCTTTAGGTGCTTTCTGTTCACAGCCGAGACAGTCTGAGTCTCAGCTGGAGTTCCCCTGAAGCCAAATACTAGGAAGAGCTTTATCGAGACAGCGTCTGGAACAATCGTGCAGGGGTGGGGAGGGAACATTGGTGTCATCGGACATTTTTTTTTTTTTTAAACTTACTGCTTAGGACCTCTATCGAATTTAACAGGGAACCCAAAAAGTTTTTCCCCCCGGCACTCTGGAAGTTTGAAGGTTTTTTGTTTTTGGTTTTTTCCCTTTTTCATTTAAGCTAGAAGGGACGGGAAAACCCAGCGGGCGATTTCCTTCCAGGGGCAGGGGAAAACACGAGGATGAGCAGGGCTGAGGAAGTGGGATGCTGTGAGCCTGGAGGCCACGGGACGCCGGGAAAGGCTCCCCGACCAGGGGCGGGTCCAGGGCTGTGGGGCGACAGCGGCCCGGCCCGGAGACGTGCAGCCCCGGGGAGGGGACGGAGGGCGTCCCGGGCCCGGGGGAGGGCAGCGGGCGCGACCTGCACCTGTTAGACGCGGAGCCGGAGGGCGGAGGCGACTGCGTGCGGACACAGGGGGGTCCCGGGGCCACCCAGCCTGGAGGGGGCAGGGGGCGGAGTCCCGGACCCGGGGGAGGACGTGGGAACGGCGACTCCGGTCTGCGGGAGGCGAGGGCCCGCGGCGACGACACGTCCCTGTCCCGCGGGGAGCCGGGGGTGACTCTCCCGGGCCCACGGCCGCCGGAACCCAAGTTCGAAGCCGCTCACTCACCGTTCGCGCACGCAGACACGCCACAGCCGACCCGGAAGGCTCCCCCGGGCCACACCGCGTCGCCAACACACGGGGCGCTCCAGGACCAAGTGACTCCGACGCCAAACGCCTGGTTCGAGGGCAGCGTCCGCTGCGTCCGCCGACGGCCGGAGCCTCAGCCCCAGCGGCGACAGCCGCTGCTTCCGCCTTCTTAGCTAGACAGGAGCAGAGAGAGGAGGGGGAGCGCGTCCCGAGACAGAGCGGCCCTGCGGGTGAGGGCGCCCCCTGGCCGTGGTCCTCCACGCTGCAGCTGTCAGCCCCGGGGTCGGCCTCGTAATGTGCAATTCTGAATCGACTGCACTCTGTGTGTGTGTGTGTGTGTGTGTGTGTGTGTGTGTGTGTGTGTGTGTGTGTGTGTGTGTGTGTGTGTGTGTGTGTGTGTGTGTGTGTGTCTACAGGAGACAACTGATGGTGATGGGGACATCCGTAGCTTTGATAGCAGCAATCCCAAATTATATTTTCTTAGATTTTTTAAAATTCCTCCCCTACTCCTCCTTTCTTGCAAAGAAGTTTTCTCAATAGGTTAGAACCCTACATTAATCAGGTAGTTCTTCCTCTCATGAGTGCAAGAGAGTCATTTCATGCATGAAACATTTCTTCACAATTGGTATGATTTGCACTAGCCTGTTCTTTGGCACTGTCACGGGAAAGCTATTTTGAATTCCCAGTTTAACTGGATGCAAATATCTATGGATTATTAACAGCCACAACTGCAATAGATGCCCTAAAGATTTTCACCCTTCTGCAAATTTGATTCATCTTCTCCACTTGATGGAGAAGGTATTACTGAGTCACATGTGCGTATCCTGAAACTAGAATGTGTGCTTTCAAAACCAGTTTTTCCCTCTTTATAAACCTTGTGACTTTAGATCAAGTTACTTAATCTATACTTGCTTCAACCCTCTCATCTCACATTAATTTGCATATTAGTAAGGTTGCTAGGTAAAGTAAGTAAATACATGTAAATAAATGGTTTAAAGTTATCTAGCAAATAATATGTGCAATAAATACAACACTACATGTCCATTTTTGCTGACATTTTAACAAAATGATTCTTTCCAACATAAGAATCTGTCACTACTCAGATGCAGAGTTCCCCCTTTAAAAAGTACCTTGAAATATTTAAGACATAAAAAGTACAAAGAAATATACACAAGCATCTGGCAAATCATACCATGTAAGAAGTAAAAGTAAGCCAGCTGAATTGCTACATGTTGCACATCCTTCTCCATTAGCTGCCTCTTCAATTCATATAAATAAGCTCCTGTGGGATGGAAAAGAGATCATTCTACACAATCAAGAGATGGGAAAGGGCCAGTGAGATGGCCCAGTGGGTAGAGGAGCATGCCTTTAACCCCGATTGAGTCAGAACTCCAGAACCTACATTTTAGAAGAGAACCAATTCCCAAAAGTTATCCTCTGAACTGCACATGCACACAAGGCTATGAACATGCACATGTATACACTCACACACTTAAAAAAGAGAGGGAGAAAGAAAGAGCAAGGGCATCAGATTTCCTTCATTTATTAGTGTGAGCTCTGGGCTCATTACTTATCAAGCTTCTACTTCCTAAACCATAGAAAAGGGAATGATGTCTACATTACCAGGTCTGTTGTGAAGGTGAACTCATAAAAAATGAACATAAGAGAACATAGCGAGAGGCTTTCAAAAGATCAGATGTTTTATGTTTATGCCTTCACACAGTTTTTCTAAGTATTCTTGAGGGACCTCAGAATAGTTTCCTATTTCTACAAATCCTATACATACTTTACTACTTTTTATATGTAGAGAGTCTTGGGCTGACCTGTGCCCTGGGCATAGGAAACTTACACATCTCTGTCTGCTTACAGTCAAGCGGGGCCATGAGAAAGGGCTCATGAGCTGTGACAGAGAAGGATGCTTGTCATTTGACGCTAACACATTTGAGTTCTCTGTTGCCTATTAGTCCCTTTTAGTTCCTTTTGTATAGCTGTGGCCAAAATACATGTCAGAAGGAACTTAAGCATGAAAAATTTTATCTTAGCTCCCAGTTTCAAACATATAAGTCCATGGCGAGGAGTAAGTGACAGAGCAGAGGATGAGCAGCTCATGGTACAGAAGACAGGAAGCAGAGGGAGGGAAAAGGAGGGAGAAGAAGAAGAAAAGGCCAGTGCAAGACACTGACCTTAAGGTCGTGCCTCCCAGCCCCATGCATGAGCTACCTTCTCCATCCAGTCACACCTTCCAGAGTACTACCCCCTCCCAGTAGTTTATTGAGATTCTAGTTAATGGCGTCTTTACCGACCTCCTAAGTATTTCTCAATCAAGTTGACAGTCATGATTAACCAACACAACCCTAGAGGCCATGAAGTATCTTCCAGAAGGAAGAGGTGAATCCTTGTTTTTGTGGAGGAGTGTCACCTTGGAAAGTCAGTCCCTACTTTGGATTTACACGAGCAGTTCTTTTGTTTTAAGCTGTTGAGATGTTGTAGCTGCTTTCTGAAGTATAATGCAGCCCACTGTTGTAGAATATTATTTTAAGGTGTGCTACTTTTGTTTATGTTACATGTGTTTAACTCTGTGAAGCTGTTACTTTCTGTACCTGTGTAAAACACCTGATGGTCTAATAAAGAACTGAACGGCCAATAGCAAGGCAGGAGAAAGGATAGGCGGGGCTGGCAGGCAGAGAGAATAAATCGAAGGAGAAATCTGGGAGGAGGAGAAGGAGGAGGACATTAGGGGCCAGCCACCCAGCTACACAACCAGCAACGGAGTAAGAAAGAAAGGTTTACAGAAATAGAGAAAGGTAAAAGTCCAGAGGCAAAAGACAGATAGATTAGTTTAAGTTAAGAAAAGTTGGCAAGAAACAAGCCAAGCTAAGGCTGGGCATTCATAATTAGGAATAAGCCCCCAAAACAAACAAACAAAGAACCAAACCAAAACAAAAACAAAAAAAGAATAAACCTCTGTGTGTGATTTATTGGGGAGCTGGGTGGCAAGTCCCCCAAAAGAGCAGAAACAAACAACAACAGCCCACTTAAGATACATTTCCTTCTTAGTCTTTCTTCTGATAGGAGCAACAGAACACCAAAGTTGTACTTCTGGCTTGGCTTCTCAGTAAAACTGGATCCTCATCGGGTGGCCTTATCTATCACATTTGAATAAAATCCACCTTGTCTTTTTTTCTCATAGACGAAGTGGTTTCAGATGAGACATGTGAAGACACTGCCGACTGGCAAGTCCTGCACAGACAGAGGAGTCAGATGTGCTGACTAGCAGGTTCCTGGTGTTTACAGCAATCCCCGTGCCCAGGTTCTCTAAGGTGCTGCTAGCTGAAAACGCCTTGTTTGATTGTCCTACAGATAAACTGACTGTGTACAAAAGTATAGTCACAATAACATATCTAGATTTTTTTTTTTTGCATTCTTTAAAAAAAAATGACATGAGGAGATGCTGATGAGGTGGTTCAGTGGGTAAAGGCACTTGGCATCGAGCCCGGTGAACTGAGTTCAGTTTTTCAGACCCACATGGCGGAAGAAGAGAGAAGATCCCACAAGCTGTCCTCTTCTCTCCACACGTGTGCTGCGGCATGTGTGCTGGTGCACACACACAAATCAATACAACAACACTGTTTCATAAATAAAACAGGATACTTCGTCCAGGCAATAGGGCTGAGATAGTGAGAGCGTTCCCTAAACATTTGAAAACAAGGCATCCCTTGAAGAGTTAAATTATAAAATTTCAAGAGACGATTCATTAGTTGAATACTGAATGAAAATAAGGACATGCCTGCTCCTGGGTATGGTGGAGGAGAAGGTTTTATTGGAGATGTGAGGGATCGTAGAGCCAGCGGCATCTGAAAGGGTCCAGACGGAAGTGGGCTATGAGGGGTTTGGGGGGGGGGTGAGAGAGAGAGAGAAAAAAGAGAGAAGAGGAGAGAGGGCAAGTAGATCCAGAGAGGAGCCAAGGACCACAGGGCCAAGACAGCACATGGCCAAGTTTGCTGGATTAGATAGGAATAAGGTAAGGAGCCGGAGGTGGAGGGGAGCAAAGCTCAGCCCTGGGCTGGAGAGGTTTAGGCTAGGGGGCGGGGTGAGAAGAGCTGGGAGGAGCCACAGGTACTGAGAGAGACTTGTCCTGGGTTTCTTTGGGACCTGTCAAATACATTTATTTAGTAACAATTACCTATGTGTGGCATCCCTGGAGATAACTTTTACATCCACGTGAAACCCCCTTCTACCATGAATATGGCTGGCTCATGTAACTGTTGGCATAGTGTGGAAATGGCAGAATGTGGCCTCCTAGGCTAGAGTGCAGGAGATGTTTTGTTCTCATAGTTACTCGTTCTACAGGGAACCCTGGCTTTGTTTTGAGGACACCAGAACAGTGCTCAGAAAAAGGCTCCTGTGATGAAGAGCTAGGCCAGCACTTCACTCACCTGCTATCACCCCAATCATCTCTGAAAAATGTGTTTAAGACTGCTTAGTCAAAAATGGTTTCTCTGAAAAAGAAAGAGCTGAACTAAAATTCTGAATACTTTCCTCATGCAAAGCCATCTAAGCAGAGTGGCCCAGGTAGTGGAGCAAATCCTGTGAGGGCCTTAAGATGAAATGAGCTTGATTTATTTCCCAGCATCTAGAAAGGTGATGTGGTTGGAACTGGAAGAGCCGCTGAGAGTGCGCTCTGCTGAAGCTAACGGGAAGGGTATTATATAGGGAAATTATATTCAGAGAGAAGATACCACCAGATTCATGCAACAAGGAGGAAAGCACTTTAGAGTTAAAATCTTACCCAAGTCAAATCAGGGAAAGAAGAAAGTAGACAAGGTAGTGTTTGATATAACTATACACCAAGAAATAATGAGCCCATTAGAGGGAGATTTATCCACAGTGGAGCCTAGAAAAAGGTCAAAGAGGTTTATGCAGCTTATGTTGGAAGAGGAGGCACCAGGGATCAAAATCTCGCCATGTGTTTTCACTGACAGACATTTGGGAGATGACCTGATGCCATTAATGACTGGATGGAAAAGTGATGACCTGTTGATGGATTTCCCTATTGCTAACAGTGGGTCTGAAAACACAGAAGAGAACACAAAAGAATGTCTTAGTTAGG